ATTGGTTTGTGAAGAGCAAAGAGACAAATACAATGCGCTCCAGAGAACGGAATCCCCTCTGTAGAATGGAAATCCCCCCCTTTGCCTGGGTTGGGTCAGGGCCTCCAGCCCCACAGAACGGTGGTGGCTCTGCGAAGCCCCACTGAGTCACAGGGCTTTGCTGAGCGAAGCCGGGTGACCCAAGGCACCAGCTTTCTGGCAGGTCCCACCATCAACAGCGAGGATCTGCTGGGGGTTGCAGCAAACAGCCAGGTGTCCCAGTATTAAGTACAGGAAAACCAGCTGCCTTTGCCTCCGGCAATGCAAGCCATGTCTTGTAAACGCCTTTATTGCCTCCAGTGGTCATGGCCTGGGCACACTCTCGTGAGAGGACTTCGTCCTGCCTGGTGACCCCAGCTAATGCCCCTGGCTGCTGCAGACCCAGTGCCCCACAGTGCCGCGCTGCTGCAGAGGCGCCACGGCACGCACTTAGCAAAACTGTGGTAGCCACCATGCCTGGGGAGCGCGGAGCATCTCCCGCAGGCGCCTGGGATGGTCCCTCTCCCTGCGGAGGGGGACAGCAGTCACACACCACACAGTTGCGGTGCCAAGGGGCAGACAGACACACAAAATCTTAGGGAGGACTTGAGCCTGTGCCATGCCTGCAGTACTTTACCAGTCACTTGGGAAAGGAGGAGAAATTCTCCTTTTTGGCAAAGCCACCTCTGCAGTGAGGCGGGGAGGAGGGCAAGGGAGGGAGGGTCACCCCTCTGCTGCTCCAGCAGGCTGCCCAGACCGCCCGGGAGGGTCACCCACCGCTCCCACTGCAGCACTGGCACAGACACTGTGGCGTGGGGACAGGCCGGAGAACACCAGCTACTTACAAAGCACCCGCTATCGCTGATGGGCATCATGGTGCCCTCCTCCATGGCTGCAAAAGGACAGAGAGGGCGGTGCGTACCTTCATGTCCTCATCATATGTGGATCATATTTTATTAATCTGGGCAAATACATTTGTTTGCATGTCTATTTGCCACGAGAATCCTTTACAGCATTTCAAGCTGATCACCTGTTTCCCCGAAGCACTGGTGAGCACACAGGCGAGCACTTTCTAGAAACACTCCTCCCACAAGCACCTTGGCACGCTCTTGTTTGTGGCAGCGTTTCTGGGTGACAGGAGTGCAGAGCCAAAGCATGCTGCTATCGGAATCTTTGAGCCTCTTGAGCGTAGCATCATGAAAAATACTGGCCCAGGTCTGTAGAACGTACAGATCGCTTGTATCACTTTGGGGCACTGAGGAGGCGAGCTCTGGGCAAAACCCTGTTCTGTCCTGCCAGCAAGGGACGCAGGTTCATAGCGTCTGGTTTCCCTGCATGCAGCATTTGCTAACGGGAAAAGGAAGTTGAGATTCTTCCCTACAAATGCAGTAAGACATAAACCCGAATCGGTGCCTGTGTTTTGCTTGCCAGGGAGTGAATTTCTCTCATACGACTGCGTGGGGCCCGTTCTGCTGCCTCCCCCACCCAGCAGCTTCTTGGCTGGGCGCCTTCCCCTGGCCGCTGCCCTCAGGCACAAGGGTAGGAGGTGGCAGGGCCACACGGGTACTGGGTACTGTCACCGTCACTGGGCAGATGCTTAGCCCTGGGGACAGATCATGGCGGAGCCTAGAGCAGGCAGGCAGCACAGTGACTCTGCTCCAACCCTTAAGAAGAAGGAAAGAAGGTCTTTCTCTGAGGTCTTTCTCCAACGTCTTGCACTAAACAACCTTTCTCCTAAGGCTGCTGGAGCCTTGAGAGGCAGCCACTGCATGCGTGTGCATGCGTGCTGGTATGTGTGTATGAGGATGCGTGTGTGTGTGTGTATGTGAGTGTGTGTGTGTGTGTGTGTGTGTGCATGTGCGTGTGTGTGTGTGTATGTGTGTGCACAGCATGGAAGAGGAGCAGATTAAAGCCTTAGGTCACATGGGAGCTACTGCTGGACGGACCCTACCTGGGATTTGGGTTCTTATAGTTAATAGGATCGCTGGAGCTCAGGGCCGTCATCCCATCAAGATAAATGTCTCCAGTGCCCACTTTTAAGCAATCCGAATTCAATTAGGCTAATTGGAAAACAAGTAAAGAAGGATTGCATTAATATAGCCTTGCAGCATGAACCTCCGCTCCCTCCAGAGGGACGGCTGAGTGCTGGTGAGCCTAACTCGCACCAGACCCATGCTGCTCACCCCCCGAAAGGGCTGCCGGGCTGCCAGAGCAGCCAGGGCTGACTCCATGCCCACCGCCAGGACAGGCACCGGGGGCAGCACGCTCCGGGGGGGCTCGGGCCCTGCTGCACGGGTTCCGCTCAGCACTCCCTGGGATTCCTGCATGCTGCAGAGCGCCTTCTAAGTGGTGGAGAGAACACAGGCAACTCCTCTGGGGGCAGATAAAGAAAAAACCTCACCAGAAATAAAGGCGAGGTGACTGTCAAGGTACGGGTGATGCAGTGACGGGAGGAGGCAGCAGCCTCCTCACACACCATGCTTTCAGGAAGGTTTTTGAACTGCACATTTAAGGACTTCTGGGGAGAAAAAAAGCAAAGCCAGTTCTTCCCGTTTTTAACAAGCTGTTGGATGATACAGAGCATGCAAACTGCAGCAGGGTACAGGTTCCCTCTGGGTGAACATTTCCTCCTTTTCCTCGCCCCACCCTGTCATCCCCCCCCCCCCCTTGTCTGGCCTTGAAAGTCCTGTTTATCGTTCAGGGAGGTGCTCCCTGCTGCACCTCACTGCTCTGGAGTGATGTCCCATCTGCAGAGTGCCAAGGCAGTAACTATTCCAGCTTGACAGAAAGAAGAGGCAGGAGGAAAGGAAGCAAGAATCTGCGGCATTTTACAGTGCTGATGTCACTGCGTGAAGCCACATCCCACACGTGTCTCAACAGCCCCAACAGGACCAAAACTATTCCCATTCAGTCGCCACTACCCGTGCACAGGAAGGAGGTACAGCAGGCAGCTGTGCCTTGGGAGTTGTCCATCCTGAGAACTTTTGCTAGCTGCAAACCATAATCTCAGCAGTAATCGTTGTAGGAATACACTGCAAAAAGCCAAAAAAGGTGATGGCACGGAGGCCATCTAACAAATCCCACCTACTGCATCCCCTAACGAGTATTCTCATATTTGATCCTGATTGCCCCTGTAAACTTCCAAAGGTAGATGGTCTTTGTGAAGCTATGTACCACAGCATCAATTTCTGAGGCTTCATGCTAGTGTGACACGCGCCCCGGGGACTCTGTGACAGCAGGGGACTCAGCTAACAGCGGGTACCTTAGACGCAAAGGGAAATGGTCAGACAGGTACCTTTCTTTGCCATCCTAAACTCCCAGTGTTAAGTCTCCGGTATCAGAGGAACCGCTGGACTCCCTTCCTCCCCAGAGAGGCGTGATGCCTCATGTGCACACCAAGGCACTGCAGCCCATGCCTTTAGCATGGCAAGAGAGAAAAGAGAGAGCTGGAGCTGGAAGGGTCTGAGCTGGTCTCTGCTCTGATACGGGGGGGAGGGGG